TTGGAGCACGAAGGCTCGGTGACGGCGACTGTAGCGGAAGGCGACATGAACGTCGTCATCAATCGGACGGGTGTTGACGCGGTGGCAAGGCCGCGAACTTACCGCCGAAGCGGCCTAGGGTTTGGGCAGTTCGGAGCTGGCCTCCGAATTGCGGCCGGAGAGGGTGCGACGGGAAGCTTCAGGAGACGATGGAGACTGCGGGCAAGTCGTTGTTGGAGGAAGAGGAGGAGCCAGAGGAGGACGATGGCCGCTGGAGACCGGAGCCGGGATGTCGACAGCGACGGTGACGTCGAGGAGGTAAAATCCTCTTCCCATCGTTTTGGAGTTCAGGGGCGTGGATTTTTAAATTTAATGAATAGTTAGGGGTTGTTTGGTCATTTTAAAAGTTAGGATATATTGGTGAATTTTGGAAAGTTTGGGCGTCAATCAGTAATTTACCGGTTTGAAGGATTAGTTCGTGATTAACAAATGCTTGGTACCTGATGGAAATAAGCCGATTGGACTGAAATGTTAAAGTAAAAAAGTGGAGATTGGCTTGGTGGACTGAATTGTGAATTCTGGAAGTTTGGGGCCGAATTGATAAGACTCAGGGGTTTGAGGTACCATTCTGTAATTTGCCAAGTTGGGAAAAAATGTAATTTTCCATATTTTTATGGGGAATTCTAGGAAAGGTTAAATGGAGTAAGTTGGGATTGGAATCAACCAAATTAAAGGTCGTTTGGTTAGTTACGCTTAGAGATAACTGAGTTAAGTTTTGCCTAAATACTTAATAGGAGGAATTGCAAAAGGAGGTAGAGCACGAGAGTTCAAACGTGGAATCTCGAACGATGATGTGGGTCAACCGAAAATTAAGAAGGGTGGTCTTTTCGAGGTGAGTATAAAGGGGGGTAAAATCTTTGTCGAAGTCTTTTAGTTTATGTTGTTTTCATTTCAAGTTATGTTCGTTAATTTTCAAGTAAGCGCGATTATGTGTGTGAGGCATCTCATCGCCTACTTAAGGTGGAGGCACGCGTTGTACTACGTATGTGATGTATGTTTGTATGAAAGATGAACCCCCCGGGCGGTTAGGCCACTACTGGACGCGGTAGATGGTCGGATCACTACTGAACGGTGATACGTGACACAGTAGTTGACCATGCGTGGACTGGACGACGATGCGTAACGCAGTACCATTGCCTTGAGGACAGGGACACCAGAAGGCGATACGTAACACAGTGAAATCTAGTAATAAGTATATAAGTTAAGATACAATTAGAGAACTTCTATAAGCTATAAAGGACTAAAATATTAAGGATGAAAGTAAGAACGACTTTCATGTAAGAGGAAGTAATTTCTAATAATGTGTTAGCAAGAGGTTACATAAGGAAAATACCTTAGGCAGTAACGACGAGACTGACCCCTTCTCACTCACCAGGTCGAGGATGGGTTAGCAGAGGTGGATCCCGAGGAAAATTAAGACGAGATGAGCAGCCGTACCAATGCTGATGGGATGTCAAAGAGCTCGGTGAAGACTTAGAATTAATATTTGGTAGTTATTTTATTATTGTGATTATGAGTATATGTACTGGAGGTTCAAGGTTCAAGAGGGTTGGTTTAAGTTGTTTGAAGTATTTGGATTGTGGTTTGCCCAAGTGTTAGGGCTTTTTGTTTGAAATATTTGAACAGAGTCATTTGATGGTTATTGAATTGACTTTTAATTATGGTTTGGGTTGCTCCGGAGTAACCGGTTTTTTTGTTTGAATTATGGTTTGGTTTGTTTAAAAGGATCGGGACGTTACATTCTCGCTCATTCTTTTACTAAGGCCTGGTGAGTAAGATGGGGTCAGTCTACGCCCTTACGTCTTAAAATTTATAATACTTGGCACTTTACTTAAAACACTTACTTAAATTTGTGGAAGTTGTTTGTACTTCCACTTTTAAAAACTCTTTAACTTTTAAAACTGTATAGGAGCTAAATTTACTCTCCCTTCTTAAAGCTCAAATCTTGAATTTAACTTTTGACTGACACTGAAATCCCTCACTAGTTAGTCTGGTTGCCCAACTCATACGCATGAGAAGCCATACAGGCTTTCCTTAGACTTAAACTTAGTTAGGGAAGTCGTAACGACTCATCCACCTAACATCTTAAACTTATCGTGGTGGCTCATCACCACGATTCTCAAGAGCATAACTGCTGCTCTGTCTCGAAGATCCCAAGAGCATAACTACTGCTCTATCTGAAAATCTCAAATGGCAACAGACTAACGCTAGTGACTAAAAACACTTAAAACAACTTCACCTTCTTAAAGGTGAGTTACTTCTTAAAAGTACTTGTTTCTTAAACTTGAACTTACTGGTAAGTAAAACATGCAATAACATACAGCTGAAAGCATATTCACACAAACTCACATGGCATCATAGAAACACACAAATGCAAGTATGGCACATAGCAATCAATCTAAAAAACTTAAATACCGTAAGACTTAGAATTTACCCCCTTTACACTCAACTATAAAAGACTAATCTTCTTAGACTCTGAAATTTCCTAAACTCCATCCTATAATATTCTCCTTGCTTCCACGATTCCGTAGGCGCCGACGGTTCCTCGTTTGAACGTCAAACGAACACGTTATGGCCAAAATAAATATTATGTCATTTTCAAAGTACCAGGTACCGAATTAGTAATTTACTAGTCAACGAGTTGACCACCACCTCTCTGGAAAATTACTGAACTAATCCACTAACTTTTCAATAAGTCCATTATGGTACCTGAACTTGACAACCTTTCTTCCCCAAACTTTCGGTGCTCGTTTCTCCCTCGTTTGACGTTCGAATTCGATTTCGTCGACACAATGATGATCCTTGGATTGCCCTATACGCAACCGTACCCACGACTTGGATCTTGCTGTCGTTGATCAAGCCATATTCGTCGGCGTTATTTTCCCGGCGACACCTTCAACGACTTCAAATTTCGTCGCCACGATGCCTCGCTCCCCTAATTCGTTGACGATGCTCCTCCCGCATTGCGGTCGCCACGTCAAGCAGCCAACCTCTCATAGTAGGGAGGGCCTTCTCCGCAGATATGTCCTAGCCGCCGCAGTTGCCTCCCCCACTCGTCTCCAACTTGTTTCGGGTAAGCAGCCACGAGATCTGCCATGAACGGTCCCCCACCAAACTCTCATAGTAGAGAGGCAGCTCCTTCTTTTCGTTCACTCGTCGGAGTTTTCGGTTTTAGCGGGGGAAAATTGTTGTTAGGGGAGAGGAAACGTGGGGGATTTAGGGTTAATGAGAGCTCGGCCCTCTTTGGCCCTTTTTTTATAAGACAGTAGTGGTATAATAATATATTATTATTAATCCTAATACGTGGTTGCAACTCTTCGTGCGTACCTGTTAATCCAACCGTTCACGTATTATGGTCGAACCAGAATTCAAAGGTCGGGGTGTTACATATATAGTCTTTAATGGGTTAATTGCAAGGTAGGTCACTGAGATTACAAAAAAAAGTTCATGTTTGGTCACGGAAAATATTTAAATCCAATCTTGATCACTCAAATTAGTTCAACGGTTCAATTAAGTCACTCTCCGTTACCTTCCGCTAATCTCCGTTAACGGCGTCAGTTTTTTGCTGATGTGGCTAACAGAAATGCCAAATCGGCCTATTTTAACCATAAAAATTCATATTCAACCAACCACATCAACCCACATGACCTGACCCTCTAGACACATCTTTATATTTTTTTATTTGCCTAAAAATATTATTTTTCTCCCTCCTCTCCGTCGCTCAACTCCTCCTCTCCACTCCCCCACAAACCTTTCTTCCCCATCCTTTCTCTTCCACCACCGCCGCCACCATTACTAAACCTTCAAGTACCATCTCCCACCTTGAAATTCAGCTTCCCCGTAAAGCCCCCAACGTCAGCTCATCTTTGCCCAAACAAACTTGCAATTAAGGGATGCATGTTCGATTATGGTCCGCAATTGAATATGAGTTTCAAATAGGGAAGGAAAGAAAATGGCGGTGAATCAAGCTCCGGGCGAGAGGAGCTCGTTGAGAACCCTCCGCCGGACCAACGATTCCTCCCCATGCTCTCCTCCGTCGACTCCTGCTGGCGGTCTTACCAGTGCCTAGTTGACGACTTCCTCCCCATCCCAAATCTCGCCCTTAGAATCACAGATCTCGCCCTTCGAACTGGCCAAAAATTATATCCACTTGCACTAAGTTGTTGGAGAATCATTCCCCCTGCACCATCTGCGTCTCGGCTTTGACTACGTCCACGATTTCAACGGGCCTTCCATGGTGTCTGTAAAAGAATCTGGTCGACTTGATCGGTGCTCGAGGGAGGCTAGGGATCTGGGTGATTTGGGTTATTTTGCCAGATTCAAGAGCTGGGTTGGTGGGGAATGAAAAATTTGATATTGATTTGATATTTTTTTTTGTATTCTCGGCGAGACTAAGGAAAATGTGGCATTGATGCTGAAATTGGTTGGGGTTTGAAATGATTTGTTTGAGTATTTTCTCCGATCTTCTTCTTCGATGGGAACAGCATGGCCGGTCGGCCGAATTAGAGAGGGTGGCGGAGGAGCTGCTTTCGGTCCTCTTCTCCATCAACTAGAGAGGGATTTTGCAGATTGGTCAATCTTGGGTTTTAATTTGGGTAGGTCGGATCATGGGTTAATGGATCGGGTCACATTGATCAGGTTTTTATGATGTGGCATGTTTTTATGACGTGGCAAGATTGGATTTTATTTTATATTTGTCAAAAATAGGTGAATAGGTGAGTCTGTTAGCCACGTCACCAAATAACTGACGGTGTTAACGGAGACTGACGAAAGGTAATGGAGAGTGATCAAACTTGAACCATTTTGCTAATTTGAGTGATTAAAATGAAATTTAAATATTTTCAATGACCAAACATGAACGTTTTTTATAATTTCAATGACTAACTATGCAATTAACCCAGTCTATAACAGTTGAACAATGAACAGTTGAACACCCATTATCTCTTCGGATTTGGGCCGGAGGAATAGTACATAGTTCCATAGTCCAGCTACGGGACATATTTCCTTGCAGAGCCCACAAATTCGCTGTATCATCGCATTGGCTAAAGGGAGGGCACCGCTCCGCGCTCCCGCAAAATAAAAGCCTCTCTCTTCCCAAATTTCAAAATCCTTCATTTTGTTCTGGAAGGGCACAAATTGTCTGCAAAAAATCACTAGCTGCCCCTCCGAAAAACCCTAGAATCCACCCCTTTCATTCTTCTGATTCGAGTTCCCCGCCACCTTGTCCAGCTCGATGGCGACTCTTCAAATCGAGAACGACGAGAAGGATAAACCACTCTCCGATGGTAGTAGCGACGACGATGACGGAGACGATGACTTTGCGGACGACATGGCAAGCCTCAGGCAAGCTTGCCTGATTGCTGGCAAAGATGTGAACCGCTTAGACGACGACAATGCAATCATTTGCTGCGGTAGCAATCCTTCCAGCCCCGGGAGTGAAGATGACCTGGAATTGCTGCGCGGCGTTCGAGAGCGGTTTCTGTTGCCAGATGAAATGTATAAGCCTCTCTGTGCACTCCCTCCGGAGAGTGACGAAGATGGAGAAGATGATCTCGAAACCTTAACATCTATCCAGAGACGTTTTGCCGCATATATCGATAGCGGTGAGCTTCAATTTCTGCTGCTGATTCCTTATCTCGTGCATTAATATCTTAACTTGTAGGTTGGTAGTAGGTGTGATTTCATGTTCCAATGGAATTGATCGGATTCAGAAATAGTTTTAGGGAATTGGGAATTCTGGATATTGGATACAAGCCTTTTTCTTCGTCTCATTTTTTAGCTAAATATAATGATTCTGTTGAACTAACTCCCGACGAATTTATTCATGTAGATGCAAAAGGAGAAGTGAGTTGGAGTAAGAAATCTGAAATGGATCCGTTGTCTTCGATTGGCACCTCAGAGGCCAACGTTTCTGACATTTCATTGGTGGGTAAAACTAATGCTATTCAAGTGGTTGAGGATTTTGAAGACAATGCTAACACCACCAATTTGTTGAGTGATAGCGTGGAGATGCAACCAGCTGGCTCTGTTGTGGTCCACCAATCCGCTGCTTGCCAGTCATCAACAGTGGCAACTAAATATTTCAGATCCCCAGAGACTTTTCAGGTGATTTTTGGGGCCATTAAGAAGAACAGGGCGCTTCAGAACTTAATTCAGGCCAAGTTGTGTCAGATTGAAGCAAGACTGGAGGAGAACGATGAATTGAGGAAGCGTATGAAAATGCTCAAGAGTCTTGAGGTTTCGTGTAGAAAAAATACGGGACGTAATCTAGCTCAGGGCAAGAATCCTCTAATCCAGTTGATATCAACAAAACCTACTACCAATTCCAAAGATTCAAAGGTAATCAATAGTATCTTTTTGTATGCTTTGCTTATATTTCCATTTTGTTGCTAGATGCTAGTACTTTCATATTATCATTATCTTCGGCATTGTGAATGCTTTTGAAGCTTGTCTTGCTGTTTTTTTCAGTCTTTCTTTTGTCATCCCTCAGTGCCTTAAGTTCAAATTGGATGTTATGGAGCGCTTGATTGCAGTTTTCAGGGCATGTTATAAGTTTCTGTTGCAAGCTCTGAAACATTGTAGGCTTTTATTGTCTTTCCAAGTTCCAGGCATAGTGTGCTTCCATATGTACTGCAAAAAGGGGAGTTAAAACTTATAATGGATGCCTGGTTAAAGATTATGGTATAAAAAATTGTAATGCCTACTGCAATGGTGTCATTATTAAGGTCTGGGAATCGCCCTGTCTTACATGTGCTCTGTTCTAAAAGCAATGTTCTGGGTGTAGGCTAAGGATACGAAGGCATCTGCCATATGCAGTGGCCCAGTGGAGAATTCTCAGGCTCCTTATTACAGAGAAGCTTTGGAGATGTTCCCATTTTCATTTGAGCAAAGGAAGTGGGACGAACGTGAAGACAAAAAACTGAAGGAGGGATTGGAACAACAATATCAAGAAATGTTGTCGCAGGCAGCAATGGAGCAAGTCAGGTATGTTCAGTGTTATTAGCTGTTGCTCTCTTTTGGTGCAACTTTCAACTCTTCATCAACACTGAGAGTCCATTAAAATAGGATATCCTGTGTTTCTGTTCACACTTCCGTATTCTGTAAAATTTGTCTTGTAGTTTGCACTTTGAAATGGTTTCCTGACTTATGTTTCATTATAGTAGTTCAGGATCTGGCGGTCAGACAAATGACTTGGACAGCATCCTTAAGTCCATCAAAGATCTGGAGATTACACCGCAAATGATGAAGCAGTTTCTGCCTAAGGTTGACTGGGATAAGTTGGCCTTTATGAACGTGGAAAGTCGCTCCGGTGCTGAATGTCAAGCACGGTAAGCAATCTCTACGTTTTGAAGCTTTTGTTATTTATTTTAAAGCTCCCTGCACGTGTGAAGTTCTAATTCTAGAAGTGGTGGGGAGGAATGAAATCTTGTAAAGAAGATGGACGTTAACTTGGGAATCAAGATATGAATATCTGCCAGTAATTGATCTGGTATAGAAGCAGCTGTAGGCTTACATATAGAATCAGCAAAACCTCGTGCCTAGTCTTGCCAGCTATAAGTACATGACAAAATGTGTTAACTGCTAAATGATTTTCCTGTACTTGCTTATTGGAGAGGTGCACAGTTATTAATTTACGAACCCAATTGATGCTGAGTTTGAAGTTTGAACCAATCCATGTAATCATCATTTGATGAGTGATGAATTCCATGGAACCAAATATTGTTGTAATTTCATCTGCTTCCAATGTGCATCAAAGAGATGATTTTGATATAAGAAGCAGAGGCTCTTCAACTCTTTATTTGGTTGTGAAAACACTTAAATATGTCATAATAAAATGTAAAGGCTATATTGTTTTCTCACTGTAGCAGATTTAGTTGAATTGGAATCCATATTACTCAGATTGGTATGTTTCGTCACACCTGGAAGTACCCCAATAAAATGTCATCAGGGCACTGATTTTTTTGTTATAGTAGACTGTGACCAAGATATCATAGGTGCTGTGCTAATCAGGCTTCATTTTCGTGCTAGACTTCATATTGTTATAGTTGTAGCAACATACAATATACCATTTATTCATTCGGAAAAGGACACTTTTGGTATATGACTTTTGCAGTGTAACACAGGTTTCTGATATTACAACTTGAGAGATCATTTTCTTTATCCGGATTTTAACCTATCGTACAGTCACTTTTGCTATATCGGCGAGATGGTTAATCCCCCTGTCAGCTAGATTTATTGCAGTGTCTGACATTTTCTTTTGTTACTTTTGTCATCCTATTGGACATGTACTTGGTTTATATTGATGAGATGATTGATTCTCCAGATGGTTGAATTCATCATGCCCGCTTATCAATAAGAGTGGATGGAGCAAACAAGAGCAGAAACTTCTATATTCTCTTACCAGTAGCAAGGGGATACAAAATTGGTCTGAGATCGCGTCATTACTGGGGACAAACAGAACTCCATTTCAGTGCTTGGAACGTTTTCAGAGGAGTTTAAATCCTCGTGTTCTGAAGAGCCAGTGGACAAAAGAGGAGGATGCCCAACTTAGAGCTGCTGTCCAAAAATTTGGTGAATGTAACTGGCAGTCTGTGGCTGCAACTCTGAGAGAGCGGACTGGTACACAATGCTCGAACAGGTCAGTTTTAGACTCTCGAAGGATCATATACCGAAGATTGCTTAAGTTGTTTCCTTCCTATTAGATTTCCCTCCAAATCACATTTTTCGGTGCAATGCTTCTTTCCATTGATAGATTAAGAAAGCATACGAATAACGATAGCAATAAAAGAAGTCATGATGAAACATAATCATTTCTTTTCAGAATGAAATTGAAAGCGTTGTCACTTGGCAAGTGACAAGCTGCCATAGTTACTGCTTTAGTATCCGGGCTGATGGTTAAAATGACTGGAGAGAGTGCCATAAAATATTTTTTTCTGACTTGTTGGCCATGTCTTCTTTTCTCTCTCTGTCATGCTTTACCATGGGATAAATATGTGTGAAACATCTAAATCAATAACTTCTAGATGCTGCTGCTAAATCAATGAAACAAATAGCATAGGCTGTTCTGTTCGTGTGAAGGAATAATCTCATAGAAGAATGTCTACTAATAAACGTTTTAAACTTTTGACATCCTGGATTGTAGGGCGAGTTAATTTCAGTAGCAAAGGTGGTTTCATTCTGTGATCAGATATTGTGTCTCAATCTTTCAGCTTTTCTACTTCTCATGTCTCATGCTTTACAATTAAGGATACCTGGAATTTTCTTTCTTTGTAGTGTTGGGATTAACCTTCGATCTTTTATTTTAATGCAGTCAGTACTCAGTAGCTATTGATGCCTGCTTGCAGCTGTCCTTGTATTCATAGAACTCTGCTATTGTATTTTCTAGTCGGTCTATTACCTGATGTCTTTCTGAACTATACTCGGTTCTTTCTAGGTGGAAGAAAAGTCTTCGCCTAAATGGTAAAGGGACCTGGAAAACAGAAGAAGACAAAAGATTGAAATTAGCTGTGAAGTTTTTTGGTCCAAAAGATTGGAAGAAAGTTGCTCAGTTTGTGCCTGGTCGAAAAGATGTGCAATGTCGAGAGAGGTAATGTTAAAATGCGTGTTAATTTGTTAAAATCAAACAAATTGCGTAATTCTTTATTTTCCTCTAACAGGTGGCATAATTCTTGCTCTCCTTCCCTTAATCGCGGTGCATGGAGTGAAGAGGAGGACTTGCAATTAAAGGCGGCTTTTGAAGAGCATGGACATTGTTGGTCTAAGATTTCTCATCATCTTCCTGGTCGAACTGATAATGAGTGCATGAGGTATTTGTTTTGGTACTATACTCTGCTGCAAGAAACTATGGATGTGCGTATTGGCTAAAAATTAAGTAACTTGAAATTTTTTGGCTTAAAAGCTAAAAGATACCTTTTCCTAGTACAATTTTTGAAACAACTCTACTCCTTAAAAAGTCACCTCACTAATAAAATGTTCATTTGGAACTTCGTCCACTTTTGAAATACAAATCCTAATCTAGCTTTTCTAAAACCCAGTCAAACGTCTTTTATTCACTTGTAGTAAAACTTCAAAACAAATGCACCAGATAATGTCTCTTTTGCTCTCAGCTCACTTCTTTTCTGGTTTATCTGCATGGGTTCTTGAGTCCGATCTTAATGGATCTATTTATGAAAGCAGAAGGTGGAAGGTTCTATTTCCTGAGGCAGTGCCTTTGCTAGAAGAAGCCAGAAAACTTCGGAAGGCTGCTCTTATAACCAATTTTGTGGACCGCGAGGAAGAGCGCCCAGCACTCGGTCCAGAGGATTTTGCTGCAACCTCGATAGGATTGCTACCTCAGGCTAAGAATGTGGATGAATCTGCAAAATCAAAAAGAAAACCAAGGTAAAGGACTACGGTTTTGTGGTCTGATTTAGCAAGTGAAATATTTCTTGATGACTCATGGCTTCTCTTATTTGCAGGAGAAAAACACCATCAACTACAACGAGCAAGGAGGTTATTCAGCGGTACGTTCAGTTAAACACTTAAACTAACAGTTGCTTGTAGCATTATGGTGTGTCTGAGACTTTGTGTTGGCTAAAAAAAATTGGCGTTCTAAGTGGACTTGAGGGCTGAAACAAGCATAATTCCACGCGTAAATTACTGAAATCGAAACGCCAGCTCACTAAGTTCTAGTTCTACCATTGTCCCCTTTCACATAACAATCTATTCTTAACAAGTTATAAACATACTAGTCTTGTCCCAAACTCACCAGCTTCTTTATTAGTCACATGATCTAGAATCACATTTTTGTATTACTAAAAATATCTTCTATTAACCCTACTTCTTCTGAAACCTTACTTGGCCCATTTATCTTCACTTTTACTAACACTTAAAAATAAGCAGATATAGTTGATGCATTGCGAAAGAAAAAAACCCCTTAGTAATGTTGGTCCGCAACCAGGAACTGTTTTGTACTCAACTTGTTTCAATGGTGAGCTGCTTCATTAATTTTCACTTGGCTTATTTTCTGTATTGCAGCAATACTGAAAAAAGGACTAGACCCAAGAGAACTAGGAGACGGCTGCAAGGTTGTTCACAGCCAGACCGAGTTGATGCTGATGACATAGATGCTGAAAGCTGTGGTGGCAATACTACTGTTGGAAAGAAAAGAAGCATGCAATCTCCTGTTAGAAGGAATCATATTGCTGAGCAAACTAGGGAACAGTCAGTTGATTCTATTAGCTCTCCGGCAGCAAGAAACAGGATACTATTGGTTTATACTAGGAAGAAGAAGGGTCTTGGTGATTTACACGCATCGAAGGATAATCTTGAATCAACTGATGCTCAAGTTGAGGAGCCATTGTTTGATGAAACCACTTCAATTAAGAAAGCCGAGGCTCTTGGATCTCACAAAAGGAAGGAAAATCACCAGATGTCCGGAGTAACAGAGGAGGACAATGATACTAGTTCTTCCTTGCTTGAATGTGGATCAAAGAAGAAGAAGAAGAGGAAGCTTGAAGTTGGGAGAAACAGTAGCCAGGCTAGTTCTCTTACTGATGACAATGATGCGGGCATGTGTGGTTCAGAACTCAGAAGGGTTAGTTCCATGTCTGCTGATATTCTGTCCGAAGAGACATCTAGCCATATTATTGTTTACTGCAGAAGGAAACAACAAACAGAGGAACCAATAGACTGGAATTGGGATCGTGGAATTATAATCGATGATGACATTCCCCTGGCAAGGGCACTTGCTGCTGCAAAATTGAGGAACGTGTAAGAGATTCATCACATGAGTAAAGGGATGATGCGCATTTTTCCTTTTCGTAATCAGTTATTGATGCAGTGCCAGGTGAACATGAGTTGCAGGAGGGAGAAGCTCGCAGCTTCGGTCCGAGGCTTAGATACTAGTTATGAGGAACTCTGTATAACATTTTGCAGGGCCCGGGAGTCTTTATCATAGGGTTATGGTTGTGGAGTGTGAAAAACCCAGGACCAGGAGCCTATTTTTGTACGGAGTTGCTAGTACTCCCTCTCCCCTACTTACGGTTTTTGTAATCTGCGACAGCAATGTCTGGTAACGTTTTTTTTTAACAGGTATAGTAATGACTAGAGTGTAGTATTCATTTATCATGCAAGGATAGGCTTTGGTAAAGATGTGTCATAATCATTTCGACTAAATTGCAAGTCTGGTCACTGGAATTACTCTAAAAGTTCATGTTTGTCACTAAGATTAATTTATTTCATCAGTAGTCACTCAAATTAGTTACACAGTTCAAATTTGGTCACTGGCTGTTAGTCTACGTTAACTTTTGCTGAGGTGGCAGTCAACTCTCATAGTTGATCGTTAAATAGATGACTTAACAATTAAAAAATAAATAAAAATTTAATTTAATTTATTAAAAATTCCACCACATTATCATAATAATTAAAAAATAAAAATTATAATTATCAAAATGAAAATGAAAATTTTCTTTCCCCCAATCTCACCGTTGTCTAGTGTCTACCTTGATGTGCCTTCGCCCTTCAGCCGGCAATCACCTCTCTTTGGCGATCCTAACTAGAACCACATTGAAGTTGAAGATCGGTGTATGAGAAGCCTTGAGCCTTACATGTCATCAAACGCATACTTCCACTCTCTCCATTACAAAATCCCTGGTCTCGATCCTTAACTTGCAACCCCAACCTCGACAATGCTCCCATTCCTTGCACAAATTCAAATCGCCAAAACAAAGTTTGGGAAACATTTTGGGAAGCTTTTTAAGCAACTTACAGAGTCTCCTGAAGAACTCCTTGGTATATATAAGCCGCCCAGATCCAGGCGATGCAGAACGCCAACAGAATCACGCGGCGGAGCCCGGCTCCGTGTGCCTCCATTCTGTCGCCGCCGGTCACCGAAGAGAGGTGATTGCCGGCGAAGGCACATCAAGGTAGACAACGGTGAGATTGGGGAAGAAAATTTCCATTTCCATTTCCATTTCCATTTCGATTTTGATAATTATAATTTTATTTTTTTTAATTATTATGATAATAAGATGGAATTTTTAATATATTTTTATTAATTTTTTAATTGCCATGTCACCCATTTAACGGTCAACTATGAGAGTTGACTGCCACCTCAGCAAAAATTAACGGAGACTAACGGCCAGTGACCAAATTTGAACTGTGTAACTAATTTGAGTGACTACTGATGAAATAAATTAATCTTAGTGGCAAACGTGAACTTTTAGAGTAATTCCAGTGACCAGACTTGCAATTTAGCCTAATCATTTCTGATATCAAGTAACTCGAGTTGAGATCAAGTAGAGTAGATATTCGTCGTGGGTTACCATATTTGTATCGACTTTGCATGATCATGTGGTCAGTGGTGATCTCGATAGAATGGTTCGCTGACCGCCTTGAAACGAGAACCATAGAATTCATAGTAGAGTTCATATCGATTGTGTTGTGAGTATATTGATCATAACATAGCATGTAGTTGGAATCAATCACCACTCAACTACATACACCCTTGGGACGTTGACCACTTGTTGACGTCAATGGTCTCCACAACCATGGTTAGATTGGGTATCTAATTAAGACTAGCGTGGTTACCCATCTTGCCATAAATGGGCAATATGACGTTTTGTATTAGCTGTAAACACATTGCAACCAATAATGAAGTTATCTAATCTAGCTAGTTGGAGCTTGCTTAAGTGGTTCAATATTCGTACAAGGAGTGGCTAGCTAGATGAGAAGGATTGGTGTGACGTTGGACTGGTGAAATATCTATCTATCTATATGGGGAAAGAGTGGGCAGGTGGCTTTCATTTACACGTCATGAATCGAAAATGCGTTCTTTCCATATTTGCTTGGTGGGCACAGAGAGAAAGAGAGAGAGAGAAAAGAGAACTCAGAAGGAACATGTTCATCTTAATCGGGACTTATCATCATGGCATTGGCTTCAGGGATCTTTCCCATCATCTATGTTCCTAAAACACCAAATCAACTCGCTTACGAAAAGTACAACATGTCTGGAAGAGTATGCTTCTAAAACTCAAGCCGTCGAATCAACTCTTTTAAACTCTGTTCTACAAAAAAGATGCGACCCAACTTTTTTATTTTATAAATAAAATTTAAATTTAATATTTATTAATAAATAAAATTGTAATATCATTAATTAAAAGGTAATATCTTTGTAGTTTTGTTTGAATATAAACTTTTTATACTCACATTAATTAATATTAACTAATACTCTATGGTGGAGGCCTCTAATAATTAGAGGCACATGATATTAACCAAATACCGGCTCTAATATTAGCTAGCAGACTTAAGTCATATTCATAATTAATTAATTATATTATTGCATCACAAGTCCAACTCATAATCAATGATGAGCTTAACTAACTTATGGTGGATATTCCTAATATTTAGAGACTCAAAATATTAAATAAAAAAATAAAACTCTTAATCATATCAAGAATGCATCAATCATAAAACAAAAATCCAACCCACAATATACGACGAACTTACTAAGAACATCCACATCAATGGAAATTGTTCAATTGCAAATCCTACATGGCACTCAAAATGAAATTGCAAAGGGAATTGCACCAATGTAGTGGGCACTTGCAAAAATGCAACATTGCATGAAATGAAATTGAATATGCAAGCCACATAGGAAAATTAAAAAAAAAACAATAATTTATTTTTTTCTCTTGATTTTTTATTATTTTTATTATAAAATCATTTAAATATCATATATGCAATTGCAAGTAGAGGTGGCAAATGGATTGGATTCATAGGTTGGTGGATTGGTGGATCCATGGATCAGTACAAATGGATTGGATCCAATGGATTGGTGGATTCATGGATTAGTTCAAATGGATGGGTGGATTGATCCATGAATCCAAATGACATCCAAGGTTTGGACCAAAATGTATATTTTAAAAAGTTAAGGACTAAAATGTCATAATAAAAAAATTTAGGGACCAAAATAAAATTTTCCATTGATATTTTTATAAAAAATATCATTTTAAGTACCAAAATGTAAAATATAAAAAATATAGGTACCAAATTGTAATTTGCTATTTTGATTCATGGATTGATCCATGAATCCACCAATTCAATTGGATTTGGATCAAATGGATTGGATTTAAATGGATTTGATTAGGTGGATAATTTGGTGGATGGATTGGATTGGATTCATGAATTTGGATTTTAATTGGCACCTCTAATTGCAAGTGAATTACATTAATGTAGGTGTAATGAAATAAAAGTGAGTTGAATTGCATAAAATTTGAAATAAAAATATAAAAATAATATGAAATTAGTTTTGCAATACCATTGCTGTGGATGCTCTAACAAACTTATGCCCGTAATATAAGGAGGCACTGTGTAGGGGAATGCTAGCACATGTCATTGGCCGGCCTTGACTCTCACTGATCTTTAAATACATTGTTTCAACACTTCATGAAACGACAACAATAATTTATAGGCAAAGTTTACATGCATAGCCATAACTTTCAACTCTGTGACAATAATAATAAATTTATGAGAAATACACCAAATATCCATATTTATCCATATTTTGGAAACATGTTTGAAAAATTTAGTCATTTCAGTTAGAAACGTTAATGTATTTAGAGATTCTGTCTGTTACATTAACAAGAAGCTGGCAAGGATGCCACGTTGACACACACATTAGTGACAGCTCGACATCTCATGCCACGTGGACGTCACATCATACTTTAATGGCATAATACACCTGGCAAAGTCGATAGTTATGAGTGTGCAAATGAATTTAGCTAACTACACCTGACAATGTTTTTAATTAAGTATCACCAAGTCAGCAAAAGCGTTAGTCCAGTCAACATTTAAAATGATTCAGTTAAAGTTTAGACGAAATTGCGCATTTTGTGAATTTCTAAGAAATTGAGTTATTATTGTCACAAAGTCGATAGTTATTGTTATACGTATATATTTTTCGTAATTTATATTAAGGTCTACTAATTTCTCATATGTCAATTTATTGGGATGATATGATTTTTTTATATGAAATGAGAGATTTCAATCGGGATGGTTCTTGGACATCCGATATTAATAGTTAATTTAACTACAACATATAATGTAACACTTGCTCAATTTTACGTCAATTATGATTTTGATTTAAAAGGCTTGCAAGAAATAATATAAGTGCTTATGCATGATGTTTTCTCCAATAACTTGATCGAGTCATTTAGATGAACCAGTTTTCGACACTTCAGAATCAAAGGCGATTTTTTTTAATTGAATTTTCTTGATCAAAGTGATTACGCATGAAGAATTGGATCAATACTTTTTAGTTTGTCCTTTGGGGTCCTTCCTTCACGGCTTTTCAATATTCTTTCTTGCTTTGCTACTGTGAAGGAGGCGGAAAGGTAAAGGGAACCCTCGATCTAGTCCACAATCTAAAAGCGGAAAGCCCACCCCCTTTTCAATATAAAACGCCAAAAGATATATTATGCTTAAATGACATTTGATTGAAGGCCTGTCATTAGTGTAGTTTATCATGGTGGTAAATAAAGTTTTGAATTGATGACTTACAAGTTATTTGTGATTAGGAAAAAATATCTACACTTTTTATTAAGTAGTTGACCATTTTTCAAGAAAATGGTCTACCTCTTTTACTAAGCATTCGACCACTTTTTAAGAAAATCATCTACATCTTCCACTAAGAGGTCGATCACTTTTCTAGAAAACAGTCTACTGCTTCTAAAAATCGGTCGACCTGATGAACCATTGCTAATGAAATCATCTTATATAATTAGATGAGCCCAATATTAATAGATATGCTTGTTGGTAATAGAGTTAAAAATAGTACAAAAACTGGAACATAAATGAGAAGTTTCTTGGGTGATTGTTCTCTTGTAGATTTGGAAATTGTTCAACATATTTATTTATTAGATTGACTTACGCTATATAGATTTTCATCTTTCCTTCAAATTATAAGTTTGCTTGTTTTAATTCTATAGTTAACCTGTAATAGATCAACTTTGTTGCTATTGTTGTTATGAATGTTGTACAATAGTATCATCTTCAACGTCCATAAATCTCAGGGTAAATGGCAAGTTTGGTCACTTGAATTACTATAAAAGTTCACATTTGCCATTAAGATTAATTTATTCAATCCGTAGTCACTTAGATTAGTTAAACAATCTAAGTTTGGTCACTGGCCGTTAGTC